TGAGCTGCCAATAATAACCAATCCAGACAAGAAAGTGTTGCTCAATGAAAGGACTGAAGTGTTAACAAGTTGCAAGCACTTAGGCAAATATTTATTGAACAATTATGAGAATGGATCAGTGTTTTCCTCTAAAAAAATTTTTTTTTTTTTTTTGCGACTCTCCCCCTTCTTAGTCCTACTCCCACCAATACCATCCACCTCCTAGTGTTCTGACCCTCCCACTTCTAAGTCCCACTCCCACCAGTACCATCCACCTTCCAGTGTTCTATAAGTTTGTTGTGGAGTGCACTATACTACAGTTTTTCAACCTGCCTGAGGAGATCTAGTGATCAAAACCTGGGTAGCATGGATGTGAGAGATTTTTTCCAAGGCATCTTGCTCTGCATTTTATATCTTATATTTTATAGTTTGCATTGAGCACTTTTTTGGTGTTTACACCTTTCTAAGCACCTCCCTTTTGTTTTTTATTTATTTTTTGGCCTCCTATTATAATAAACACTTTTTTTTTTTTTTTTTTTTTTTTTTTTAAGCATTACACCCCAAGCAAGGCATGAAGCCACTAGGATGCAGGGGGTTGCAGAAGATTAGGAGCAAGAGCAGATAAGAGTGATAGAAGAAAGGATGAGGAGAGGGATAGTGGATAGATCAAGGTAACTGGAGATGTCGATTGACATTACATTTGAATAGTTGGAGATTATAGCTCTCAGGGAAACAGTAATTGGGAAGGGTGTTCCACAGGTGAGAGGTGCGAGGTATGAAGCTATTGGAGTAGAAGAGACGGCTACATTTAAAAGTTTCTACAGTGTAAGGGTGGGAGCGGGATGCCAGCCTTATAGGGCACTTGAATTCATGGAGTCTGGGAACCAGTGAAAGCAGCTCATTGGAGCAATTACCATGAAAGTATTTGTAGGAAAGACAGAGAGGTGACGGCACATCTGTGAGAGAGTGACTGTAGACGAGATGCCAGATCAGGGCCAATTATATTACATATCCGTTTCTGGATCGTGTCAAGAACTCCGAGGTAAACAGAAGGTGCCCCAGACCATATATGGCAGCAATACTCCATGCAAGGGCGAATGGTTGATTTGTATATTTGAAGTATCGATTCCAGGAGACCGAGCTGATGCAGGGAGTTGCTCTCAAGAAGTTGGCTATCAGACATTCTAATGGGGGGAAGGGAAGGATCTCTATGGTGATTAAGAGAGAGTAGTTTAGTTTTTGAGGCGTTAGTTGACCAGCCAATTCTTGTCCCAATTAACAACCGATTGGAGGTCCATTTCAATACGCACGGCCAGGTGAGTTTTATCACTGACACTAGATTTGTTTTTGAGTCAGGAGTGAATTGTAGTGTCGTCCGCGTAGATGCCAACTTGGGAATCTATGGCGATAGGAAGGTCGTTGATGAAAATAAAGAATAGAGTGGGGCCAAGGATGGAGCCTTGGGGAACACCTGCATTCGTGGGATAGGAACTGGAGGAGAATCCGTTAAAAATGACCTTCAATTCACGGTTTGACAGGAATGATTATTAGGTCAAACAATCGACCTGTAATACCATAACCCTGGAGCTTGCGAAGAAGGCCGGCATGCCAAACCCTATCAAACGCTTTGGAGATGTCTAGGGCCACGGCACGAGCCTCACCGTTATTTTGAAGGGCTTGGTAGACGGTTTCAGTGATGGCTGTAAGCACATCAGCTGTAGATCAGGCGTAGCGGAAACCATGTTGCTTGTTTGAGAGCAGATCATGGGATGTAAGGTGGTTAACCACTTCAGCATTGATTAGGGCTTTGAAGACTTTGCCGAAGAGGGGTAGGAGACTAATAGGATGGTAATTAGAGTGGTCAGAGGGGTCTCCAGAGTTCTTAAAGACAGGAACAATGGATGAGGACTTCCAGCAGTCAGGAAAACAGGATTCCTTGAGGCAGTAATTATATAGTTTAGAGATGGCAGGCACTAGCTCAGGCATGCATTTCTTCAAGACAATGGCTGGTATGCCATCTCCACCACTAGCCTTGTGGGGGTCTAAATTGGAGATAATGCCCAATACCAATGACAGGGTTATGTGTAACCCACTCAATAGGGCCTCAGTTCTTAGAGGGAAGTCTGGTATGGGTACACTGGAGGAGTCGAGCGTTGAATTAAATGAGAATTTCCGAGTAAAGCATTCAGCCTTGTCGGTAGAGGAGGTCAGGACCTCGAACTGGTTGAACAAAGGAGGTATGGAGGGTTTTCTATTGTTCAGGATGCTCTTGCAGAGCTGCCAATAATCTTTGGAGCCAAAATTGCGAGATGCAATATGCTCCTTCATCCGAGCAGCAAATATTGACTTAAGCCGTTGAGGACAAGCTTACACTTTTCGTTGTGGCGGAGGCAAAAGAGACATCTATTGCAGTCTGACATCGCTAACTGAGATAGGTGAAAAGAAGTGGTTCCTATGGGCAATGGCAGCAGAGCAAGCAGCGGAGAACCAAGGGAGGAGTGCGACTTGACCTTAAATTTCCTTGAGGGAATGAAAGCGCCGATTCAGCTTTAACCCAGGATGAGACCTCAGAAGCACATTCTTTGACAGGAGTGTAAAGACAACATCTCAGGGGACATCGGAGGAAGTCACGGAACGAGTCCCAATCCGTTTCGTTGATAGTAGAACAAGGTTCTAGAGATGGGAGGTTCTTACAACAAAAGAATTTGTGGTTTTACCAAAATTCATATAAAAAATTCTCACTTGAAATATTTGAACTTTAGCGTTGCGACTTGCATGTTCCAATATTATATAACTGTTAATAAATAACTCATTCTTAAAAAAAACATCTATCGGTCTACAACACATTTATTTCGTCTTCGAGTTTTGATTTTAAAGGAAAAAAATAACAGCGTGATGATGAGGATATGAAGTTCTTGAAAGTACTTGCTGCTTTAAAAAAAAATACACCAGATCCTTCTGACAACAATTTTATACATAAGGATCACATCATTCAGTGGATTGTTAGTAGTTTAATGCTTATATTAAGTCTGTTAGCGAAGAGATTTCGCCATTAATTGCATTAATATTGCTAACTGATTTAATGTATGATTATCTCTTTATAACATAAAATATATGCTGCTTAATATGATACATTTATGAAAACTAATATATATATATATATATAGTTGTTATATACACACACAATACGATCCCTGACAACCGGACTAAGAAGGCCTTCCGGATATGAGGAATTAGTTACAGAGTCTGAATATGAGGGGTTATATTTAGATTAAAATAAAAGAACTGAAATCAGGTTTAACATTTATTTTCAATGTTTTATAGTAAACAAAACAAGCCAATAGTGTGTAAAATATAACAAAATTGATTTTAAGGAAAAAGAAGTAATTATATAATATATGTGTGTGTGTGTATATATATATATATATATATATATATATATATATATATATTGTGGATAATCAGGTTTATGATTGAGTAGGAAAGTATTAAACTGCTCCTCATTTATCAACCTATATTTTATAAACTATATTCTATATAGTACATAATCGTAAAAAACAGCTCTATATTCTGTACATCAGTTTGCATACTGTAAATTCAGGACAAGGGAAATTATATTTACTAGTCAAATCTTCCTCTTGCAAACATTTCTCTTATTAATAATTTAAAAATGATTCAGCAGACGATGTTATTTTATTTATGGTAACTGGATTTTTGGCGATTGCCTTACTTGGTTTTCATCATTCAATACTGAATGTCTAAAAACTGAAACAATTATTTCAGTCAACATTGTTTCTCAGCTTTTTGGATAAGATCAGAGTGTAGTATATGTTTTTATCAACTTAATCTGATTTTCTCTCACTCTTTCTCTCCACTGTACTCTTTTATTTTCTCACTGAAACCATGTAGTGTCTTTTTCCACATGATCAAAACAGAATAGTCCATTATTTATGAGGTATTGGCAAGGCGTAAATGTCATGTAAACTAATGAAGGGAAGGACAAGCACAGTTATATAATTTTTCACTCTATTTCATCATTTTATTTATTTTGTACTTTTTGAAGAAAGTAAGCAACTTATAACCGAAGACTTGGATTTTTGGTTTCTTTTTTATATTATGACATTTAATAGCTCAGAGGTCTGGATGTGGGTGTTAAACAAGTCATTAATTCAGGAGTGGCTGTGATTGCCAAGACATTTACATGTAAAATGAACTTAAGTGATTTTAATAGTTTCCATTTTTCATTTTCTCTTTCTCTCTCAAATTCATTCTGTCTTGTGTGTTTGTTGTCTCTCTATCTCTGTCTTGTGTGTTTGTTGTCTCTCTATCTCTGTCTTGTGTGTTTGTTGTCTCTCTATCTCTGTCTTGTGTGTTTGTTGTCTCTCTATCTCTGTCTTGTGTGTTTGTTGTCTCTCTCTATCTCTGTCTTGTGTGTTTGTTGTCTCTCTATATCTCTGTCTTGTGTGTTTGTTGTCTCTCTATATCTCTGTCTTGTGTGTTTGTTGTCTCTCTATATCTCTGTCTTGTGTGTTTGTTGTCTCTCTATATCTCTGTCTTGTGTGTTTGTTGTCTCTCTATATCTCTGTCTTGTGTGTTTGTTGTCTCTCTATATCTCTGTCTTGTGTGTTTGTTGTCTCTCTATATCTCTGTCTTGTGTGTTTGTTGTCTCTCTATCTCTCTGCCTTGCGCGCTTGTTGTCTCTCTGCCTTGCGCGCTTGTTGTCTCTCTGCCTTGCGTGTTTGTTGTCTCTCTCTCTCGTGCCTCTTTTTACTTTTTGTTTGATGTTTTTTAAGTTTTTCCCCTTTTTACTTTTTTGCTTTTTTTTAATTTTTTTTACTTCTTTTTTTCCATTTCTCTTAGCATTCTACTTTCTCTTTTTTTATTTCTCTTTATGTGAACAAGACTATTTCCAACCTTTCAACTTCCCACTCATAAATGTTGATACTGGCATTAAATCACAAACTCTTTTTTTCACTCATTTCATTTTGCTACCTTTTTTCTTTCTCTACTTTACATTCTAGGGTATCATGGCTCGATTATATGAAACTGCTGTGGTGCTGGTGTTACTGGGAACAGTCGTGTTTGGCATTGCCTGGGTTGCTTCTGCATTTTTTGATGATGATAAAAGCAGCAAACAAACTCTTTTTGGTAAGGTCTTTGTTTTGTTGCTCTTTACTTTGGTAGCCTTTTTTTTTCTTTCCTTTTTGTTTGGGAATCTTCCTGGGGTTGAACAATGAAATTATTCCTTTTCGGTGCTGGTTTTGTCAATTTTCAGTAAGAATTTTATTTTATTTCACATGCTGACCAATTCATGCACCAGATTTTTAAATAATTCTCTCCTTTTCATTTAACTGACCATGCAACTGTTTTGTTTATTGGTTGAACAATCAAATATACCTTCTCTTCACTTACTATCTTTTATTTGACAGAATCTAGGTATTTCTTTGACTTTTAGTTAATTGTAATGTCTGTGTGGGTCTACATTTAAAAGTAACATCCATTTTTGAAAAAAAAAAACAAGTCAGAATACTCATTAGGATTATAAGGGCACTTTTCATATACTACAGTTATGGCAGTGGTTGTGTGCCATTTAGGAACAATGAAAATCCATTTTGTTGTAAATCCATTGTGTGCCATTTATGTCATGAATGCTATAACCCATTAGGATCATAAGGGTACTTTTCATATACTACAGTTATGGCAGTGGTTGTGTGCCTTTGATAAGATAGCCTGATGGGGCCCATCTCTTTTCAGGTTACTTTTGAATTCAGTTTTCTTTCTTGTAGATTGGTTGCCACTTCACAGCAAGAGAACCCAGTCTACTCATCTTTTCATGCATTTTCCAAGGGCATTCATATGTAGTGAATGAAACAAATTTTTTTTTATTTTTTTTTAAAATCATTTCATGCCAAGCAAGGCAATAAAGCCTCTAAGATGCAAGGGGGTTACTGAGTGTGAAAAAATAAGAGAAAGCAAAACGAATTAATAAAGGAGAATTGAACAAAAATTGAACTTGACATGCCATATTCACTTTTCATCTTGATAACTGTTACCCTATTATAGTAACCAAAAAAAAAGATTGGCCCTCAATTTGACTTTTATGTTCTTTATAAACAATGCCATTTTTTTCCCCATCACAAGCAAGACAATAAAACCACTAAGACGCAAAGGGTTAGTGTGAAAGGATAAGAAAAAGAAAATATTATTTAGGAGAGAGCACACGTTAAAAACCGGAATAAAGACAGAAGATAACAGTTGACATTGCATTTAAATTTTTGAAGATCAAAGTTGACTGGAAAGCAAGAAGCCAGAGGGAAGTTCCACAAGCAAGATGTGCGACAGAAGAAACTTAGCATAGAACTTAATTACATCTTGCCATTTCAACTGTAAAATGATGTCTTGTTTTCATGATCTGTATGCTTGTTTGTCTTTTGGGGATTTGCTTAAATATGCAACTCATTATCTTCAAGATGAAATTTTCAAAATGATGTCTTAATGAAAATTATCTTGTAATCATTTTCAATTTGGAATTGACAATTTTTTAATTCTTTATGATATGGAAATGTTCTTATTTTTCTGCTAAAAACTATTTTAAAGGTTTATCAAATTTGTTTCCCTGGCCCCTAGGGATGAGAAGAATTTACACTGAGATTATTTAAGAAAGTAACCCACACTTATTAAAGTGACCTATAACTTTAACCCACAGTTTTTATCTGCAAATTACAGCAGTAAATCTGCTGTCCAGTTTGCTCAACAATTTCTTTTTTTTTTTTTTTTTTTTCAGCTTATTCTCGTTGTCATTGCAATTAATTTAATGGTAAATATTGATCAGATGAATAAAAAAAATTATACAAAGAAAATTTCAGATCAAAATTCTGTGAGTTTTCAAATTTATCAGTCTACCTTCATATATCAAAACTTCTAGCCAGAATTTTCATGTGCAAATTAGGCATGTATATGTGTATATATGATTGAGTTTGATATATATATTTTGTGATTAAAAAGAAACTCCCTCTTTTAAAATACTTATAATTTATTCATTAACTATTTTCATACTTACTAGCACGAGGTTTTATTTAAAATTTGACATGGGCACCAGATTTTGCTCTCAGCTTCTTGAGCAGCCCAGGAACCACATCAACTTATTTAACCAGGAACTCTTGTGGTATGGAAGACATAACTTATTGTATTCGTCCTTCAAGTTCTTCGGATATCTTGGTCTAGTATAGTAGACTTGCTCATTTAACCAACCCCCAAAGAAAAAAGTCACAGGGTATTAAGTCAGGACTCTTGGCTGGCCACTCATACATAAAATAGGGAGTTACTTTTCAATCACCCTCTGTGTGTGTGTGTGTATATATATATATATATATATATATATATATATTGGTAGCATGGTTTTATTTAGACATGTCTCATTAAATAATTTAGGCAAGTTTTGTTCTACTTATTCTTAATAGGATCTCCTCATATTTATAGATGAGTTTCTTAGTATCCTTATTAAAGGAAAAATTACAATATTGATGTATATCCATTTTATTCCCGAGTACTTTTGACATTACCACAATGTCATCTTCAGGGTTTTCTTTTTGCTAAAATAAAATTGCTGTGTTCATCTGAAAATTAAATATTTTACATGTGAAGTGAAAAATGCTCATCTTTAGGGTCTTGTTTTTGCTACTGAAGTCCCATTCCATGATCACAAAAATATATGTACAGTGGGATGGTGTTTCCATGAGTTCAATTTTGAGCCCAACTTTAGTAAATTCTATATGTCTAGTCTCAAAAAGGATTTATTTAATAAATGTAACCTTTATCACACTGCAAGCGACAATAGTCGCTGTAGAATTATCTCCCTTGCTACTCCATGCATATTCTGTCACCTTGAGACGGTTGCTACAAATAAACTCTTGTCAACTGTTATTTCTGGTATTTTAAGATTGAAATCTCCTCCTACTGCTTTGGAATAAAGCTAAACTTCTGTTTTCCAACACCATTTTGAATTCTTCTAGACTCTACGTGAGGTGTAACCTCGATTAAACTCACGTTTATTTTGTTCACGAGTTTTTTTAAACAAAAATGGCGGCATCAGTATCCAACAAAGCTTTTATTCATGAGTTTTTCTTTGATTCAAACCCCAATGATGATTTTGAAGGCTTTACTCGGGTGGATGTTGACAGTGAAGTGGTTGAAGATGATAACCACGCTAGTGACATGGAGGAAAATGATGAGTGACTCCTATCATCTATGCCTGAATAATTTCATGGAAGCTACTGGCTACCATCTATATACCTGATAGCCTTTCTGAAGGTGAATTATTTTGTCTATTTATAAACGACGAAATAATAACTTTATTCATTAACGAGACAAATATGAGTGAGGTGAAAGAAAGAGCAAACAAATGCTAGTGTCTTCTCGTATGTAAACATGAAACACGTCATTTTTTGAAGAAATAAAAGCTTTATTAGTGATTTCGCTCCTTAACCCCCAGAACTTTGCAAGGAGTAATAAAAGTTAAAGTACATTGAATTATTTGTGTTTTTTATTTTGCGTTTCGATTTTTTTTGTTTTCAACATCTAAACATGCATGCAAAATGTAAAATTACATCAAAATATTACTCATCCATTCTTTTATTAGTGTACAAAAATTTAAATCTATACGCACTATACAAAGAAAGTTATAACAATTTTAAAACAGAAGGCGTTCTTGTTTTTGCACCCTCAAAAAAAAAAAATTCAGTGGCAGCGGGGAACAATTCTAGAAAGAAATTAGCATGATACAGGTTAAAAAACTACCAAAGATATGTCAATGATATTCTTATCTTAGTCAAGAACGTTTATGAAATATATAAACTCCAAAAACAATTCCAAAATAATTCTGTCCTTAAATTTATATACAAACATAATAATCATAATAAAATTCCTTTTCTAGATATATTGATAAACACTAATAATTATTGATAAACACTAATAATAATAAATTCATCATCTCCCCATATTAAAAACCTACTAGCATTTATTTACTCTTAACTATGAGTGTCCAAATTAATATAAAATAGGTATTATAAAAACCTAATAAAATTTGCAAAAATTAACTTCTCCACAACTTCTACTGTGAACTAAAAAATATAAAACAAACTCATATTAACTCTAATTATCTTCCCTAATTATATTGCCAACAACCAAATAAGACATTCTATTAGAAATTTTAATATAAAGTAAAAAGAATATTAAAGAATATTCTTTAAATAATCCTAAACACTTTAATCTTTTATATAGCAATCAAATACATTCTAATTATAAGCAAAATGAAAATATCCTAAAAAAAACTATTAAGTACTAATATATCCACCACAAACCATAGTAAAAAATGAAATGAATTATATAGTATACTAAATTCAATATATCCAATTTAACCATTTGTAATGACTCCTCCACACCAATTAACGTGTTACGGAAAACCAACATTATATATAAATTTAAATGTCCTTTGGGAGATTGTATTTTCAACAGAAAAAGTAATATATATGTTATATATAGGTTATAGTATAACTTCATTGTCTAGAAGGTTGAGTTTTCATTTGAATGATGCATCTAACATCTCTCAACATTTACATCAGCATGCCTGTCATCATTCGCAATGTAGAAAAATTCTTGTTGAAAATACATCTTTACTTTTTCATGAAAATAATAAACATAAACTAAAATTTCTTGCAGCTATCTATATTCAAATATTGAAAACCCTTAATAAAATTAATTATGAATACTGCACAAATGTTTTAAAATGTTTAGAGTAGATAGTTAAAAAATATCTAGGTTATAATGACTCCTCCCCAAATAAGTTTAGCATTTTTCATTTCACAATTGTCAGGTGGTGAGATTGCAAAAGCATGAAACTAAATAGTCATAGTAGATTGAAGCAGTTTGCCCTTTTAAAATGTTTTACATAGAGAGGTGTGTACATGATTCAACAAATAGCAGTTACAGTTTTCCATGGGAAACATGAATAATATATGGAAATTCAATTTTAAATTTTTGATGCCTAATTTATCGAGATGTACGAAGTCTGATGAAAATGTATTAGGTCTGGTGTTATAAAAAGAAAGTTACAACATATATCATTTTGTCATTTAATCTCTTTTGAAGTAGTTCCCTTCTAAATCTACACACTCTATTCAGCATCATTTCCATTGATGGAAGCATTTCCTGAAATTACTTTTTTGGGCAAGTGAGGAGCTGCCTTGTTGTATTCTCTTGGATTTCCCCAACACCTTAATTTTTTCCCTTTCAGTTAGGATTTGATTTTTGAAGATGAAAATGTTGCAAGGGGTGAGATCTAGGGAATATGGTGGTTATAGGACGTAGGGAATGTTGTTCTTAGTTAAAAACTGCAGCACAAGCCATGATCACTGATGGAATCTCTGTATGGTGTTGAGACAACCGTACTCTACACACTTTCCTTCTAAGAACTGCTATAAACATTAGAAATGAGTGAAAGTGTTATAACTAAGTGTATATGCATGACAGAGTTCAAGGTCAATCTGTTCTAAGCGGCTTCACTTTGCGTGCTTTAGCTCCATTACCATAGCAACAGTCCCAATATCTTTTGATCAAACCTCAGATGTGTTGGCCACTTTCACATTTCTGTTTCTTTGCTTCTAATTAAGCTACATTATGACAGTAGTTTTGTGAAAAGTGGGGATATGTAATCTAATCCTAGGCATGAACTGAACATTTTGTCATTCAATTACCAACTATTAGTCTGTGGTGTGTGTGTGGTGTTTTTTTTTTTTTTTTTTTTTTTTTAGAAATGGATTTTTCATAAATTTTTTTTATTTTATTGCTTAAATGTTTTTTTTTTTTTCGTGGATACCCATATTTGAGTAGATTTGGGATATAAAACTGAAGAATCAGTGAAGGTCTGTGTTCAAAAACAATAATTTAGGCTTTGCTTGACCACTAAGTTTTTTGTGGTCAAAGCATGACAGATCCAATAATGGTTTCCCAAAGGGGAACACTGGTTTGAATCTTGCTGGAGAACACATATTTTTCTAATAAGATCTCTCAAATATTCAAGTCAGTAGATGAAATGAATAAATATACTGTTTAATAAATAGACTATCTACCCAAATACAGATATCCACTAAAAATAACATTTCAGCAATAATATATATATATATATCTACACATACAGAGATCAAATATTATTAGTTGATACTCATATTTGAAATAGATGCCTCATTTTTATATTTTATTTTAAACAGTGTGTATTACATCTATTGGCCTGTGTATTTGAGAAAATTTTATCAAGAAAATGTGCTCTCCAGTTCAATATATTTCAAATACGAGTATCTACTGTAATAACTTTTGAAGTAATAAAAAAATTGGATTAAAAATAAATCCATTAATTCTTTTGAAAATATATGTTGGTCTCTTATGTCTATTTTCTAGACAACCCACACTAATGATTTGATCCATAGGGGTGAAAGCTTGTGTCGAACCAGCTACACTTTTTAGAACTAATAACAGAGAAATGGTTTAGTTATTTTTTTTTTCTGAACCAACATCCAAGTTAAATATGTCCAACTTTGATTGCATCAAGTTTAGCTACAGATACTAATTAAATTTAATCTTCTTTTTGTCTTCCCCCAGGGGACAAAATTTTAATTCCGTTGGCTGGATTTCCACCCTAAATTCCTTCTCTCCAGAAATTTTTGGCATTTGTTAGGTTGAGCGAATTTCAGCTTTCATTCTTGTGTACACTTTGTCATCTTTGTATTTTGTCCCCTTGAAAAATCTATCATCATTTTTGGTCAGAATTACAAAAAGGAATGTGTGCATATATATATATATATATATATATATATATATATATGTGTGTGTGTGTGTGTATATGTGCGCACACACACACTACTCTGCACTCACCCACTCTTTCTCTTTAGATTTTCTTATCCCCCCAGCACTCCCAACTTTTTTTTTCTTTTGCTCCTTTCTTCCTTAAACATTTTCAAAGACTTACTTTTTCTGTTTCCAGAAAATATTTGGGATCCCAATGTATTTGTAAATTTTCAAGGGTTGGGGAATGGGAGAAAAAATATATACAAAGTTAACTTTTGTGTGAATGGAGGGGGGTTTTATTTTCTTTCTTTCTATTTTTCCCATTATCGCTCTGTCTGTCAATCTATAATGTTTTTCTTTCCAGATCTCGATTGTTGTAGAACTTTAATGCCTGGTAAAAACATCCAATGATCAATTGGCTTGCAAAATATTTTCATTTTTATAACCTTTTTTCCCCCCTCTTAATCTCTCTTTCTAAACTGAAACATGCATACAAAAAAAGTTTTCTCTTCAGTCTGTGCTTGTTTATTTTATTTTTTTTTTAAAAAAAATTTTGTACGGCAATTTCCACTAGTAACAAATTGGCTTGACTTTTTTGTTCTTTGAATAGTTTTTCATTTTATTTTCTTCCAACACAATTGACACTTTTTGTAGTTTCGTACTCAGCACTGATTTTAGTTATTTCTTTTGAGGATACCAGTCACTATCCACCCTCACTGCCTCCAGTCATCTTTCATAAATTGACATTTGTGCTGTTTATACATTTTCATTTCATTTCTTCAGGTAATATTTTGGTATCTTGCTCAGAAAAAAAAAATGCTGATTAATTTCAGTTTCAGCCAAACCTCTGCCATCTCGATATTTAATCTCATAAAAGCAGATAGAAGTCCAATTGGTGATACCATTTTACAGGTGGTAAAAATGCCATTCCATTAGCATAAACAGGATTAGGCTTAGGCAGGAAATAAATCACTTTTCCTCTGTCCTCTCCTTTGTCTTCCCAAAGCTCTTTGGTGGCCCTTGTCTCCCTCCCGCCCGCTCCTTGGTGGCCCTTGTCTCCCCTCCCGCCCGCTCCTTGGTGGCCCTTGTCTCCCTCCCGCCCGCTCTTTGGTCGCCATTCTCTATCCCCCCCCATTTTTGGTCCCCTTTATCTACTATCCTGCCCCCCACAGTGATCTTCCATTTTGCCTCCTCCACCAGTCCTTATTCCTCTTTTCCCTCTTATTTTCCCTACTTTGTTTTTCTTCCTTGCCCCCACTTTGTCTCCTCCACCTCACCATGGCTCTCTTCTGTTTCTCCTTTCTTTGGCTCAACCCATCCTTTTGTGTTTCCCTCCCCACACTCCTCAGTCCCCTTTGTCTTACTTCTGCTTCTCTGTCCTCTTTGTCTCCTACTCCCTTGAGCTTGCATATGTTAATATGTAATTTTTTTTTTTTTTCCTAATTTGGTAGTGATGGCATCCATTGGCAACAACATTCAAATGGCCATTATTTTTTTCTTTGCTGTTTCATATGAGGAGATGCCTTTCTCTTGTCTTGAATGAGAGAGCTACACAATCTTCACCCACAAAGGAATTTCTGTGATTCATGGGGATATGAGGCAAAATATTTACACTTGTTTTATCTGGTCATAAAGATCTAACAAACGGACAATCTTGTCATTTGATTATTTAATGCAAATGAAAACGTTCTCTGTGCAAAAAGTAATATCTTAGGACAATAGCCTAGTGTTGGATTATGAATTCGGCAGCATAGTAATTGAGTTCAATCCCTGTGCCAGGTAGGACATAGTTAAATTCAGTAGAAACAGAGTGAGCAGTATAAAAAAATTTCTAGACATGCACAGTGCAAACGATCTACCCACTCCTTTGATTAAATAAAGAGTTTAGTTCAAAAGTCCTTAAAGGTTACCCAAAATGGCTGTCACCTAAAGAAAGCTGTAAGGCCAAAGGGACAGAAATATGTGATAATAACAATGAAGATGAGGATATTAGTCAAAATGTAAATAATTAATGCTACATAATTACTATATTAATTAGTATTACATAACCCAGATGTCTGTGTCCAAAATACTTTTCCTCTAAGATCAACTTTAGTCTTTAGATCTGATCAAGACTAATTCTTCTGGAGTTGAAATTTTGTCATCATTTACTTTGCAGTATTTTGTCGTATGCAATTTTTCTTTTATGCCAGTTTGTACAGGAAAATGCTTTTGCTTGGCTTCATATTTTAAATAAACATTTTGTAAATCTTAAAGAAATTTGTGAGTATTATTATTATGTCATTACTAGGTACCTCCACTTTTTTTGTTAAGATTTTTGATACCTAAGGATTAAAATTTAAAAATGAAAATGCATTCTTGAAGATTTCTTTTTAGCTTTAATTAAAAGATAAAGGATTATCTGGTGTATTTCAAATAGAAATTATATAGATTGGAATGTCAGATATTTGCTTGATTTCAAAAAATGTTTACTGGCAGCCATTTCTTACATTTTAACAAGTTTTAAAATAAAATTATTGATTTTAAAAATCTTCCAAAAATAAGATATATATTTGTGACATGTTATTTGAGTAAAATTATCAAATTTAAAGTTAAATCAATCAGATTTGTAATAAAAAAAAAATAGTATACAAACATTTCTTAATGACAGGTCCTGTCATTCTTATGTCATATTGATGTTGTTGATCAGCTCTGAGATGTTGACAGCTAGTATGGATGACCAAAATTGACATAAATTTATGAAATCTAAGTGAAAATATTGGGTGGGAGGTTAACTACCTAGTAATTTTTACAAATTAACATATTTTCAGCAATTATCTAATATTTTGACTTTTAGTTATGTTTGAAGATGCTTTCTGAAAAAATAATAAAATTTTCTTAGATTAATTTAAAATTAATTTAATAACTGAGATGAAATATCATGATAGAGGTATTTATGATAATTTATGAAATGTTATGGGATTTTATTTATTATTAATTTATATTTTTTAATATCATTTTTTTTTTTTTTTTTTTTTTTTTTGAGATGTAAACATGCAATGAATAACAAATTGCAGACAAGTGAATTTCTCTGAAAATGGTGGACAGTATGCTACCATAGGTGAAAAATAGCAATGATTAAAGGAAAAAAAAAAAAAAAATTATTTTCAAATTATAATATTAAAATGATGTATATTAAGGTTTTCAGTTTTGGATTCATAAATTTCATTTACACTTACAATATCACCTAAAAGAAAGAAAATAATACAGAATGTTAAACGATTTTTAAATTATACTAATTAAAATTTTTAAATATGAAAAATCCTTGTAAAAATTCATTATTGATCAAATTTTTTTTTTCTTAAGACAGTAGTGTCCTTAATATAATTTATTTACAAAAGCAATTAAAAGCTTTTCTAATTAAATAATATAGTTTGATTACATTTTTTTATTTTACCATTCTGAGCAGATTTTCTGTACAAATACTAAGTTTGAAAAAGAAAATTGAATGATTTATATTCTCCAAGAAGTCCTACTTTTAACTAATAAAAAAATTTTGGAAAGAAAATTCAATTTCATGAAATTTCATGAAATTAAGTAAGAGTGGGGTAAGATGTAAAAAAAAAAAAAAAAATTTACCAAGATTTTCTAAAACAAAATATTTCAAAAATATTTTCATTTATTTGTGAATAAGTCCTGAAAGTTTCATTAAAATCCAACAATTATTTGATTTTTGCAAGAATTTTCAAATCAATGTGTTTTTCACAAAAAACAAGCAAAAAAAAAATATATAACTGTAAAAATTGTTTCACACTGACATAAAAAAAAACCAGGATTTTTAAGAAAAATTTCTAATGTGTTAGAAAGATTTTAAAAGTTTTTAAAATAATTAAAAAAAATACTTTGGGCTTTCCTCTTAATAATAACATAAGCATTTTGACAATAAAACTTTGTTTTTATTAAGTTTGTGGCTTTTTTTCATCATGCTATGCTGTATTTTCAGCGAGCAAGTGGAGGGACCTAATCTTTACCTTCAACCTAGTATCCTCATCTCGGTTGTAATGTTCAAAATCTTTCAAACATTGTCCCCTTCAGCCTTTTTAAGTTGTTTGTAGTATTTGGTAACCAAATTTTGAGCCAAACACTTTATTCACTTCACAAGAGTAAATTGTTTTCATTCCACTTTCTTTGCTTGTAGCAGTTAATACTCTCTAGATTCCAAGAGACACATGGCCTAGTGGATTAAGGCATTGATTAAAACATATTTAGTTCCATGGCATTTGTGAGTTCAATCCCTAGGTCTGGTGGTGTAAAAAATTCATAAACTCCAGTTCAGTGGAAGAAATGAGCAAGTGACACTAAAGTATGTTAAGTTCTGTTCTATGGACTTACTATGATTGAACTTACGTCTTCTTGATTGTAAAAAATAATGCTTTGTTGGATTAACCAGCTGGTTCAGATGGGTCCTGCGCAAGTAGCTCAATTTAAGTGTGTTGTTTTTTTCGAGTGAGAGAACTCTTTCAGTTGCCTAGTGAATTCTTGTCAGAGTAATTCAGGTGTGACTTTCTATTGCCTGGATTATATCCTTAAGATAATTTAACACTAGTAGCAGAATGTACTTCAATGTTAAATTATCTTAGAAATATTAGTGAATATGATTGGATAGAAATAAGTGATATGAGATATCCCTTAAGCAAGAACAATGGAACAAGAACAATCTATAGCTATGGATTGAATAAAGGGATGTTTAAAATTCTGAGATGGCTAGAGTATGAAGAAGACTGTAGAGTACACCAGCCAATACCTTTTGTTAGCTTAACAACCAAGATGGGTTACACTATAATAACTGCTTTTTCAATTCTGAGTATGTGTGTCTGTTATAGTGTGAAGTTAATACCTGTGGTTTATATTGCAACTATACTAAGCAAACCCTAGTTACAGTTTCTGGGAGAGTGCACACAATCTGGTATGATCAACAGTTTCAAACAAGGTTAGTATATTCATACTCACAGTCACTAAGATTTGTAGCTTTATACTAGCAGCACTGTCAATGGCTTCTGAACTGTTTTGTCTATCCATTTTCACTCCTGAGGCTTAGGTCAACCTGTGGTATGGTTTTTGGACAGTTTCTAACAGTGCTATATGCTAAGATCTTACCAGTTCGAACACTAACAGTCTAATAACTCAGCCACATGCTAATATGAATGTGTATATAGTCTCGAAAGTAAAGGCATTTAGTGTCTGTCTATATCTTTGAGATGTGGTATTATGATTACTTACATTATTTACATGGTTCGGACTGTTATCCTCATCTTCATTGCCATATTCAAAGCGTTTCGACTGTTGTATGCTTCAGCCTTCTTCAGGTGATTGGAACTTTGAACTGAACCCTTTCTTTCATTCACCAGGGTAGATTGTACTAGCTCTACATGCCATGTCTCTTCCAAATGTCCCAGTTATTTCCCTTTGACTCAACTCTCCAAGTTTGTGGTTCACCACTACTGTAGTGGTATGTCTTCAAGGACACATGGCCCAGTGGATAAAGGTGTTGGTTAGATCCAGAGACAATCAGAAGAGGCATGGCATGTGGAACTAGAACAATCTATCCTGGTGGACAAAAGGGTTTGGTTCAAAATTCCAATCATTGGAAGAAGGCCAGAGCATACAATGGCCAAAACGCTGTGAATATGGCAGTGAAAATGAGGATAACAGTCCGAATGATGTAAGTAAATATTTAGTGATTTCAGAGGCATGAAAAGCAATTCCCACCACTATGTTAAAAAACCTAAAATGAAAAAGAAAATAACTTACAAATTTTTTTATATTTTCATTTTAAATTTATTTTATTTATTTTTTTAATCAATATCACCCCCCATGCAAGGCAATAAAGCCACTAAGACACAAGTGGTAACAGGGTATTGAAGAATTAAGAACAGGCACATTAATAATGAGCAGGAAGGGGAAAGTGTAATCAGGAGGACAGTAGATAATAATTAACATTGCATTTAAATTTTTGTAGATTAAAGTTGGCTGGGAAACATGGAGCCAGAAGGGAGTTCACAAGTGAGAAGTGTGAGAAAAACTTAGCATAGAATTTACAGTTACATTTAGCCAGTCCAAATGTAAATTGATGAGATCTCAATGCCAATCTAGTATTGTGCTTAAATTAAAATGTTTAGGTACCATAGCTAAGATCTCATCTGAACAATTATCATGAAAGTATTTGTAGAAAAGGTACAGAGAGGTAATCTTATGGTATTTATCCTCTTTTTCTATGAAATATTGCAAGGTAAATTTCTCTTCAGTCGTTTGACAAATTTTGAATCATTTATTTTTCTACAAACTAAAAAAGAAAAACAACTTTTTAAAAATAAAATAGTTCAGCAGATTCTCAAAAATAAAACAGTGTGACAATGATAAAAGAAATAAATTTAAAATAAGCATCCTCTCATTTGGTACCTTGTCTATCATCAACCATTCACAATCTTTGTCTATCATCAACCATTCACAATCTTTGTCTATCATCAACCATTCACAATCTTTGTCTATCATCAACCATTCACAATCTTTGTCTATCATCAACCATTCACAATCTTTGTCTATCATCAACCATTCACAATCTTTGTCTATCATCAACCATTCACAATCTTTGTCTATCATCAACCATTCACAATCTTTGTCTATCATCAACCATTCACAATCTTTGTCTATCATCAACCATTCACAATCTTTGTCTATCATCAACCATTCACAATCTTTGTCTATCATCAACCATTCACAATCTTTGTCTATCATCAACCATTCACAATCTTTGTCTATCATCAACCATTCACAATCTTTGTCTATCATCAACCATTCACAATCTTTGTCTATCATCAACCATTCACAATCTTTGTCTATCATCAACCATTCACAATCTTTGTCTATCATCAACCATTCACAATCTTTGTCTATCATCAACCATTCACAATCTTTGTCTATCATCAACCATTCACAATCTTTGTCTATCATCAACCATTCACAATCTTTGTCTATCATCAACCATTCACAATCTTTGTCTATCATCAACCATTCACAATCTTTGTCTATCATCAACCATTTTGCAGTGACTTTTTCTTTTCCTTGGTAAAGCCAAAGCTTTGACATAAATTTGGTAAATTCATTTCAAAGTTTGACCTTTTTAAATTTTTTATTGCATGTGTTTTCTGTACAAAGCAGTTTTCCTTTTCCTATGTGTGTTGATCTGTGAGTTGATGATAATTATTGCCACTTGCTTTAATGTTTTCTATGCTTTAACTTTTTCTACTTTAAACATTTTTTTTTCTTTTATTACTTATAATCAGTTTTGCCAGAAAATCCTTTCAACGCTTAACTGCATTTTAAGGCAAGTAGCACTCATGTTTTAAGGCAAGTAGCACTCATGTTTATTTCCTAGCAATCTTAGTAAATAGAAGAGCAAGTTTGTTTTTTGTACAGCTGGAAAGGCTACAGTGTAACAGGGTCCCCATTAAAATAAAAATCTCTATAAATACTATTTTTTCTTTTTTCTTGCTTCTGATTATTACATTGATTAACTTGGACACTTGAGTGCAGTGTAATGGTTAACAAGCTTGTCTTGCAAGATTAAATAGTGAGTTTGATCCTTAATGAGTACCTCATACTTTCGGCCTTGTGCCACATGTAAGCTATGCTTAGAAAATCACCATGACATTGATTAACTGTGCTCTAAGGCTTGTTGCTATGACTGGCCATTCTCTGCTCTGCTGTCATAATGTAATAAGGCTTGGATGTGAGTTTTTGGTCAAATGCTCTGGCTCTTTCTATTAAAACCGAAGTCAATAAAATGCCAACAAAAATGCCACTGTTATCTCTTGAAAAAGCAGTGAACCCTGATACAATTCATGAAGATTGTTTTTACAATCTTTGGCTTTCTAACCAACTGATGCTGAGAGAGTATTTGATTAACAATGCAGTTTTAAGGAAAATGAAAACAAAAAGGAAACTTGTATTTATAATCAGAAAGAGCCAGTTGAAATTTCTAGGATACATAATGAGCAAATAAATTTCCATCCTCCACAGTTGAACCATAAAAGTGTAAATGATAGAAATTCCTATCATCTGGAGTTAACAAAAACTCAGTTTGAAAGGATTGGCTAAGAGGTCAGGTATTGATAGGAGGTTGAATGTAAAGAGATCTTGTCAAACTTTTTTTCTTTTTTCATCTTTCCTTTTCAATTTTTCTACAATCTTACATATATTTGCTATAAAATTGCTAGAAAAAAATTAAAATTTGTAGGTAGCCTGACTTCATTTCCACTGCAGTGGATGTACTTTTACATCTTTAAAAAACTTATATTGCCTGCTGTTGATGTATGTATATGTTTTCAAAACTGTGAAATGTTACTTTCTAGTGTTTGCATTATAAACTAATTCTGGCTTTGTACTATTTCAAAACCAGTGTATAATATAGTCTGTTTTGTGATGTATTCTGTTTTGGCAGGGGTGTCATTTAGTTTGGTCTGTACTAAAGAATATACAATTGACGCCAAAATGGGAGCACCTATAAAAAAAGATGACATCTTGATAGTCATTTATTTCCAGTAATTGGTAATTTTTTTTTTTTTTTTTTTTCAAAAATAGGCCAGCACAGCCAGGCAACAATACTATAACAATGCAACAGTGAAAGTGTTAAAAATAATTAAAAAAAAAACATTGAAATTATCTTGTTCCAAATATGACCTCGTCCCCCCAATGTCCTTACCCCCCTCTAGGTGCATAGAATTTTTTTGTGTCATCTATTTTAATTTGTAGGAAAATTTATAAGAATGTAACTGATCTCCCCTAGTTTTTTTTTTTTTTTGTAAGTAGTACATGTAAGAAGACAGAATGTATGGTTGTTAGCAAAAGGGACAGCTCAACAAATGAATTACAAATTGGAGATGTGAAAATTTAACAAATGGAAAAATTTAATTATCTTGGGAGTGTTTTAACAGAGGATGGAAAAAGTGGTAGAAATCCAAAGGTGCATTGGGATGTTTTCCAAAAGGCAAGCAAAGTATTAAGAAACAGGAAAACTTCATTAGAAACAAAGAAGTGTGCTGAACTATTAAATAGTATCAGTCCTGTATAGTAGATGAAGAAGAGACTTGAGGCAGCAGAAATATTGTTCTACAGAAGCATGCTGAGAATACCATAAACTGAAGACATGAGCAATTATGAATTTTTACAGAAAACAGAAACAAAACGAACACTTATACTTAACACCAGAAAGAGTGTTGAAATTTTTAGGGCACATGAGAAAAGATGGTTTGGAAAATTTGATACTCCCAGGTCAATTGAAGGCAAGAGAGACAAGCAGCACATAGCCTACCTAATGAGCTTTAAATGGTTGGCAGAACAAGAATTAGGAGTTATGGCAAAAAGACAAAATTTACTAAGGGCTACAAAGGATGGGAAGTTGTGGAGAGCCATAATCATCAACACCCTAAAGAAACACGGAATATAGAAATAATAAAATAATCTTTTATTTGGTTTTAATGAAGATTTGAAATTGGAACCTTGTAGCCTATCGTCTTCAGGCCTTTGAAAAGGCTAAGGATTTCTAAAATAACTTTTTCTCCTCATAGAGGATAAAAACAACAGTTTTCTTTTATTAGTCTTGTATATAATAAATTCAAAAAATAGTCTTGTTTGCCATAAATTTGTCAACACCCGGTAATGCTTGCCATTGAATGACCAAACGATATTACATCGGGCTCAAATTGTTGCTATTCAGATTTTTGTGTAAGTTTGTGTAAGCATCACCCTCTCAGCACAGGTTATTAATGAATGTCCTTACTGTTTCCATGCCAATAAGCTAAGCAAAATTACTTGCTGGATCATAAATATCAAAGAAACACTTTCCGCCTATCCTCCAATTTTTTTTCTTGTTTTGTTTTCATTCAATTCTCGCCCCACTGTCCAGACACACATGGTCAAAGTAAATTATTCTATGGTTCTTGTGACTTACCATCTTTGTTCTTTCTTTGTATTTTCCCCTCCAAGCATGAAGACAGTGGGTGCCATGCTGATATGAGAGTATGCACCTCAAAGAATCCAGAGAATTTCAATGAACATCACCACAGGTTTGCCACTGCAACTGTTAGTTACCTACTGCCCCACCCAACTCCTCACACCCCCTGGCAACTTGGCTGTTTACTCCTCCTCTTCACTGCACACACCCAACCCCCTTTGTCACATGTCCTCTTGGAAAAAGAAATTAATAATGTGCCTATTTTTTTCTTACCTTTTTAGTTGTAGTTTCTGAAAACAGAATGAATTGCCTCCCTTGATAATTTTTATTCAAACACTCATATTTTTGAGTAGACTTTATCTGGAACACTTGGCAGCATAAATCATCTGATGTCATAGTCCTAGAAAATTTTGTCCTGGGTAAGATAATAAACTACATCCAGCAGCAAGGAGGTTTTGAGGAGTGTGGAACTACCTCTTAGTTGCTGATGTTCTGACCTGGAGTAGTAGCACCTGTTAGGATCCCAGGTACAGGCAAATAGTTAACCCCCAAACTAGGATGAAAACACTATAAAAGTGTAAAAACAGGTTTTAATATCAGCAATACATTTTGGGAAAAAAAAATTATTACCAGCAATACATTATTACAAGCAATACATTTTTGAAAAAAAAATATTAACAGCAATAAAAATC